TGTGCTGATAGTAACTCATGCCCACACACTCCTGTGCCACACACTCCTGTGCTGATAGTAACTCATGCCCACACACTCCTGTGCCACACACTCCTGTGCTGATAATAACTCATGCCCACACACTCCTGTGCCACACACTCCTGTGCTGATAATAACTCATGCCCACACACTCCTGTGCCACACACTCCTCTGCTGATAGTAACTCATGCCCACACACTCCTGTGCCACACACTCCTGTGCTGATAACTCATGCCCTCACACTCCTGTGCCACACACTCCTGTGCTGATAACTCATGCCCTCACACTCCTGTGCCACACACTCATGTGCTGATAGTAACTCATGCCCACACACTCCTGTGCCACACACTCCTGTGCTGATAATAACTCATGCCCACACACTCCTGTGCCACACACTCCTGTGCTGATAATAACTCATGCCCACACACTCCTGTGCCACACACTCCTGTGCTGATAATAACTCATGCCCACACACTCCTGTGCCACACACTCCTGTGCTGATAGTAACTCATGCCCACACACTCCTGTGCCACACACTCCTGTGCTGATAGTAACTCATGCCCACACACTCCTGTGCCACACACTCCTGTGCTGATAATAACTCATGCCCACACACTCCTGTGCCACACACTCCTGTGCTGATAATAACTCATGCCCACACACTCCTGTGCCACACTCTCCTGTGCTGATAATAACTCATGCCCACACACTCCTGTGCCACACACTCCTCTGCTGATAGTAACTCATGCCCACACACTCCTGTGCCACACACTCCTGTGCCACACACTCCTCTGCTGATAGTAACTCATGCCCACACACTCCTGTGCCACACACTCCTGTGCCACACACTCCTGTGCCACACACTCCTGCCCACTGTGCCAGACCCATTTTCAGAGCTTTGTCCTCTCTCAGCGGTTCCGGCCCGGTGCCCGTATTGTGCTGGCGGACTCATTACTAGCGGAGCGATAGCGAGCGCAGCGCTAATAGGCCTCAGTCGAGGGGACGGGGGGGTGACGGTGTGAATGAGGCACAAACACAGAGACAGCGAGGAATATTATCAGTGCCTTTATGGCCACACATTCTTGTTTTGTCACTCTCTTTGGATTCCAGCAGCATCAAGGTTTGATAGTTGTGGTCATTACGCAGCGGGCAGAAGCCCAGTTGGCATCGCTGGCAGACAGTTTTTGAGGTTGATGACAGGAGGGGATTTTGTGTAATTTTGGCCTCCATGAAAAGCCAATCCCCCCCAACCCCCCCACCCCACACACACACACACACACACACACACACACACACACTTGTACATTTCTAGGGCTCAAGCACTGAAGGTGCGTAGACACCTATTGTCTCCGTTGGCGTTCTTCTTCTTCCGCTCTGGAAGTCTATGGCAGCCATAGAACCGTTACGGGACGGTTATGAGATTTGACACACAGATCGAGGACAGTCTGAACTGTCACAATAGCAAGTTTGGAGTCTCTAACCCAATCGCTGTAGCGCCACCAACTGGCCAAAGTTGCACTCATGTTTATACTAATAACTTTTGAACCGTAAGGATAGGTATAGAAACCAAAATAATTTTTTTGATGATTTACGTCATTTTCCGTGTACATTTTTTTTCACCATTTTGAATTGTGCGAAAAACCTACTTTTGAAACTCCTCCTAGGCCGTTACTCCGATTTTCACAAAAATTGAACCAGTTTATCTTCAGACCATGCCGACAAAAATTTCTGGAATTCAAATTGATTCGGCAAACCGTTCTCGAATAACGCGCGAACGAATTTGACAAAGTGCCCATCAAAATGAACATGAGGCTATATCTCCGCAACGCTTTAGCGTATTCTGACAAACTTGGTGTGTGTTACGACAACCATGACCTGAGGCTACCCGCACAGTTTCAGCGCAGTGCCACCTAGTGGTCAGGAGATATGAAAAATGGCTCGTTTTGCTTATATCTTCTGAATGCTTTGGCCAAAAATCACAAAACTTCTCTTGAGATTTGAGGCAGCATGCGAAGTCAAACGATACCCAATTTTCCCATATCGGCCATTTTGGGTGTTAGCCATTTTTAAATTTGATGTAAAATGCTATATTATACGAACGCACTGGAGTATAGTTACGAGAGTTGGTATGTGTCTTCGGCATCATGCCCTGACAGTACTCATAAAGTCTCAAGATCAAATGTTCAAAAGTTATAATGAAATTTCTAAAAATGCTAATACTTTTGATTAAATTAACCTATTATAATGAAACTGGCTTTAATAGATTCTTTGGGTCAGGCCGAGAACAAAGATACAAATTTTGCCATATTTGGACAAAATTCCTGTCCTCTATTTTGATTTTCTTACAAAACTTTTTTGAACTACTCCTAAATCGTTTTCACAAAAATCGAATCGTATCATCTCCGGATCGTGCTGACATTGGATTTCGTGTTGATAGACGAAACCATTTTTGTATACCATGGCAACAAAGTTGAGGCATGATGCCAAAGTGACTCTTGAGGCTGCATCTCTGCAATGCTTCGGCATATCGACACCAAACTTTGCTTGTGTCTTTGTCACCTGACTCTAATCAAATTATTAGTGATTGTATTTGATTTTTCCGCCATAATATGCTTTTACTTGCTCGATGTTGCAGTTGGCCTGATGCTTCCAGTCATGCAGTCATGGCTTTTCCTGCCTTTGTCCCTTCATGGCTGCTTGCAGCTATATTTGTTCCTATTATTAGTTTCTGGTGCTTGAACAGAAGTTTAAATGTTTTCAGTGAGTGCATTGTTTGACATGCACAGCAAAACACTTCCGACTATCAAACATCAGCTTATTTGATAACCGTGACATTTGAAATGACAGAGTTTTGAGGTAAAAATGTAAACAGATGTGCACACAGAGATTAGTACACCGGTAAAAGTGAAATCAGAGTGACATGCCAAAATCTATAGTGTGCCGATCGGGGTTTTCCTTAAACTGCTCTTTAACATTTTCCTTACAAAAGAACATCAGGTTATTTATCATAATTGGTGTAAAATTGTACATGTGAATGAGATAAAGAGTGATTTCATCAGGAAACAGATTTGAAGGATAGGCTATATTATTTACACCTACAATTGAGTTCAAATAAAACTCAATTTAATAACATGCTTTATTTATATTTTCTATATTGGGAAATGGTAGTAAATGGGAGTATTGTAACATATTTTGTTTCGAACGCCTGCCATTTGTGTGTTCCGTTATCTGTTTGATACAAAGTAGTTTATAAATCTTATCACAAGGTACGACGAGTGCATTGTTACAATTATTAAGGCCTAATGTACTTGTATTATTTATTGTGTGTGCGTATATTCTCCCACTAGAGGTACATGTAGGTCTTTCTGGGTCCAATAGGAGCAGCTACTTTGCAGGAAAAACCCTGGATGATTATTATATCCATAAGTGAGTGAGAGACTGCGGTCGCATCAGGAAGGTGATGCTCATGTGTGATTTCACCACTAGCTCATTTCTAAATGGTTAAACTGATGTTATTAACATTACTGCACGCTACATATACTTACACTTCAGTCCTCATTCATTCATTCGTCTTTTTATCGTCTCGGGATTCTGCTCGCGCACAAAGCCCTAGGCGCGCGTGCTCCCGGTTCAGGTTCCGTTCGTTCATCACGTGCGCGCGCACGGGATCCAGGTGGGCCGCGGCCTCGTTAAAGAGCCATTAATTATAATGAGGCCACAAAGAGGCGAGAAATAATTGCAAATAAAAGTACGTGATGCAGAAAATAAAAAAGGAAATTAAACAGATGCGCATGTTTTCAGGATCATTGCTTTTGTCCCTTTCATGTGTTCTGTTAAACGCTGACTGGCTAAAAATAAGCAACATAATAAATTATGGTTTTCAACGGGAAAACAGTAGAAACACCTCATCACCTCCAACTTCCCTGGTCTAGCAGCGGCCAATAGCCTTCATAATTATAAGTTTGATTTATTGAAGAACAATCATTCAAGCTGTATCTGACATTACAGAATATATTAGACTATTCATTTACAACTACGCTTATTATTATTTTACAAGACAGATAAATGAGGGAAACACAAGAGTGGACTTTGACATGCTTTATTTAATTCAAAATAATTCTGTAGAAATTATTAATTTACATTTGAATAATATAATTAACAGTACAATAACACGTAATCTCTGAAACTCAAAACTCGTTAAAATCACAGAAATATAAGCATGATAAGATGGAAAAATAGAGGCGAGAATATAAACGTTTTAAACTAATGAATCCCCACACAGTTCAGCCCTAATAATCATGTGTAGAATATAGAAAATGAATTTCATTTTAATAGGGGTTTGCCTTCTCTTCATTATTTACATAGCATATTGCCCCAAACCGTTAAACATCTTTAATTGTTTCTGAAAATGCTGCTTCTGTTGGACGATGGCGAAATACAGCAAATCTTCTTGTTAAAGGTAAGGTGTTATTTCTCTTTCGTTTAAAAAATATTTAATGTTTGAATATGATAAAGCCCATCCAACCCGATCTCACGCAATTCGATCTCGGATTTTACGAGGTGGCTAATTCGTACGAATGACCCCTGACCCCGCCCATCACTGCGGTTAAGACAGGTCGCACGAGTGAGGTCGCACGAATTATCCACCTTTTAATCACTCGTGAATGGGTCGCGAGGCAGGGCTGGCCGTCGGACACCCGGTCCTTCAATCCAAACGCGATCGAATGCCACGAGCTCAAAAAGATTCGCTCATCTAATGTTCGCAAGCAGTGAAACGCTACAAAGTCGCGATGTTTCTCACGTTCTTTAGAATAATTAATAGGCTACTATTTGAATTTGCGTGGACTGCGTATGCTATAATCAGTTTGCTAGTATTCGTGAATCATGTGCACTTAAGATGTAAAGTGTTTCTGGCCATGAATATATGAAAACATTGTGAAATGTCTTTGGCTACAGAGAAATAAAAATACAGGCAACAAATGTTCACTGGTGGAATAAGATGTAAACGTGTGGCTGTAAATGGCCTTTAATCAGGCCGTGTACAAAGGACATAAATAGTTTTACAGGCAATAAAAGGTATCGTCCATCATAAATCTGTTTTCTTCATACTCCACTGTATTCTCCAGTGTAAGAAGAGAAGCTCGAGGTTTTCTTCATAATCCAGTGTAAGGAGGGAAGCTGGAGGTTCTCCTAGAGATGGTCGTAGGCGGAGGGAGGAGCTCGCGAGGAGGAGCTGTAGTAATACGGGGATCCTGCAGGGGGCGACAGGCAAACATCAATATCCCACAGCGAATACGCGGATATAAGCTTATAGTGCATGAGAGTGAAGGTAGGATAGAGTTATTTGCTTGTTTTGTGTTGTAGGAAGCTCAGCTGTGCAAATGTCTGCTCTATAAGTCTAGCTCGAGGGCTAATGGCCGTCTTATGACTGTGCCATTATTTATTTCCACAGAAAACCCAATAGCCTGAAGGCACTTGCGGAGGGTAAAACTACTTCAGAGTTTCATGTGACTGAAACTTTATGCAATAGTTGAAGGGCACGGCAGTCTCGTTTGGGTGTATACAGGTCGTTAGTGCATTTCTTTCTTTACTATGCAGCCGGAAGCATAACATGTAAGCGTGTGGGATGTTCATGTTCATGGGATGGAGAAGTGAAAGTGAGACTCACCTAAGATGGTGGAGTTGGTGAATCTCCAGGCGTCGCTGTAGGACGTGTAGGACGGGTGTGTGTAGGTCTGGCCCGAGTACTCCGGTCCTACAGGGAACACACACACATTAAACACATCAAACTAGACAACAGCAACGACAGCCATGCCAACAGACCCTCGGTTATAAACACACTCGTGCTGTAAGTGTCTGTTTCTCGAGCTCCAGCACATCAGTCACTGGCGGTTAGAGACTGTAAACCATTAATCCCACAGCTGATCACTGGTGCATACAGTCTCTACTCTCTCTCTCTCCATCCCTCACTCCTTCAGGCCTTCAGGCCTCCCTCGGCCATTCTTTCTTTTAACATTCCAATATCTAATTGGTAATTATGGGAGCCGGATTGAATCCCCCCTTCAGTGAGTAATTGTGTATGAACGCTTCCTCTCAGCGAGACCACCAGAAAAATAATAAATCAGACCCTCTCATTTCGCGCTTGGCAGGGCAGACTTCATATGAAAAAAGAAAAGTGCATCTCAGTCTCTGCAGAGCTTGTGCTCCTCCTGCCGTTTGTTCCTTAATGGCCACTCTCTCTCTCTCTCTCTCTCTCTCTCTCTCTCTCTCTCTCTCTCTCTCTCTCTCTCTCTCTCTCTCTCTCTCTCTCTCTCTCTCTCTCTCTCTCTCTCTGTATATGCTTTCCATATAGATTGTGCACTCATTCATGGTGTGTCTCCACCTCAGACTCTCTTTCTCTCCATCTCTCTGGTCTCTCTCGGACTAATAATCCTGATCCCTCAGCGGGCCCCTGTGGTGTGTGTGTGTGTGTGTGGTCGGGCATCAGTGCAGAACTCCTGCCCCGGTCCCTCCACATCTACTGATTAACCCACCCGTTCTCCTGTTAATCTCTAACTCGGCCCCCGGCGTTCTCACGCGCTCCACACATTCATGTTTCAGAGAAACGGCATTTATGAGTCCACTGTTTTAATCACAAAACTAGATCGTTACATTTCCTCAAGAAAATGAGAGTGGCTCTTGTCTGTGCGAAACTGTTGCTAAGCATTTACATGTGTTCATTTAGCAGATGTTTTTATCCAAATGAGGAACATCACAAGCCATTTGTCATAAGAGCCAGATTCAGAGCAAGTTTAGAGTCGAAGCTAGATTAGTGTTCAAGCTAGAGCAGAGGTGAAATGCAGAGAATCCTGTATGTTTGTGTATTAGTTGTGTATTAGTTGTGTATTAGTTGTACCATTGACTCTCAGTGCATCCCTGCATCGGCGTAAAACCTGGGCCAGATCCCACGTGTGTGCGGATAATTCAAATGAAGCGGACCCTACAAATGAGCGGGACTAACGCTAAGAAAAAAAAGAAAAAAAATTATATATATATATGTGTGTGTGTGTGTATATAGTTGTGCTGTTGCTAGGGTGTTCTGGGCGGTTGCTAGGAGGTTGCTACTGACTCATGCCTCAGAACTAGTCCTGTGTTTTTGGTGCAGGTCAAATTTGCTTCACAAACGTACTTTGTGATTTTAATGCTGTCTAAACGGAACATATCTGTTCTATTTCACACCAATTCACTGCGAAATTTGAACTCTCTATGGTTAAAGGTGCTCTAAGCGATGTCACGCGTTTTTTAGGCCAAAACATTTTTTGTCACATACAGCAAACATCTCCTCACTATCCGCTGGCTGCCTGTCCCCTGAACACACTGTAAAGAAACGCGATCTCTGTAGACAGCCCAGGCTCCACAAACAGCAACAAAAACAAACTGCAGCGACCCGCTCCCCGAAACATGACAAACTGTTCCAGCCAATGACCGACAAGAAGGGTTTGGGGGGCTAGTGTGCAGATGAGGAGGAGGGAGGGTCTAGCTAGCCTCCGTTTTGTTTGACAATAGTTCGAACGTCAACAAGAAGTGACATCACCCAGGATCGCTTAGAAAACCTTTAAAGTTTGGTAGTTCAAATATGTCCACTGTAAAAAGAATGAGGATATTCCACTAGAAACATGTTCAGTGATGGTTATGACCCTCGCTTTAATTAACAACTCCCTCTATTTAGATGTTTAACGTTAGAACTATATCATTAAGCACATGTACATGTGTTGTTTATTGCAGTGGTTTGGAGATGCATCCATCCAGAAGAGCGCATGAGCTGCGAAATAACGAATGCGGAACAGTTAGTTCATGTGTTCATGACCTCAAGGCTAGATTACTGTAATGCTCTACTGGGTGGTTGCCCTGCACGCTTAATAAACAAACTCCAGCTGGTCCAAAACGCAGCAGCTCGAGTTCTTACCAGAACCAGGAAGTATGACCATATTAGCCCGGTTCTGTCAACACTGCATTGGCTCCCTATTAAACATCGTAAAAATGTTAAAATATTGTTGATTACCTACAAAGCACTAAATGGTTTAGCTCCCAGTGCTTGAGCGAGCTCTTAACGCATTATAGTCCTTCACGTCTATTGCGATCTCAAAACTCCGGCCAGTTGATAATACCTAGAATATCTAAATCGACTGCAGGCGGTAGATCCTTTTCCTATTTAGCACCAAAACTCTGGAACAGTCTTCCTACCATTGTCCGGGAAGCAGACCCTAACCCTAAACCGGGAACACTTCCCATAAATCCTGATGTACTCGTTACATCATAAGAAGAATGGCATCTACGTTTACCGCAGTCCGCCGGATCCAGATCTGATGAAGGACCTGCGCCACACACACACACACACTCCAGATCTGATGAAGGACCAGCGCATGGACACACACACACACACACACACACACTCCAGATCTGATGAAGGACCTGCACCACACACGCTCCCACACACACACAAACACACACACACACACACACACACACACACACACACACACTCCAGATCTGATGCAGGACCAGCGCCTGGACACGACGACACCGCAGTCCTGAAGTGTCTCTAGCCTCTCCCTGTGAAGGCCTCCTCCTTCTCCTCTGTACAGATAAACGTTGTCAAAATAATTCCGGTTGACGTGGCTATGCGGAAGCGATACATATTTCTGTATTATAGATTTTTAAGGCCAGACGAGTAATTTGTCGAGGTCAGTTTGTAGAGAAAGACTACACGCCTGCGCACATATATATTGAAACGCGCACACCTATAGACTAATCACTAATGCGCATGTGCGCCGCCGCGTCTCACGGGTTTGTGTTTTTGAAGTTTGCGCAGAGATAACCTTTTTTTTTTCAAAAAAAATTCAGGGTGTGTGTTCTCGAGCCGCCAGGCACTGTTGTGTGTGAGTGAGCGGCCGGAGCGCGTCAAGGGTGTTCAGTAGAGCGGTGTCGTGTTAGCGGCCGCTAAGTTAATAGCTAATGATCTTTACAACGGAAGTGAATCAATCAAAACTAACTTTATCTGGACAATAACTTTATTCTAGAGCTGCTGTAAAGCCTAAACACTCTCTGTTACTGTAATCTCCTGTTATCACTGTAAAGCTGCTGTGAAACTCTATACTGTTAAAGCGGTGTATAGATGAAGGAGACTCGACTCGACTTGAGTTGAACTTCAGCATCAGCACAGAAAACAACCACTGTCTTATTTGAATAATTATATCTAAATGTTGTTTAGAAATAAACCCGTCTGAATAGTGACACTTCCCTTTAAAGGAATAGTTCACTTCAAAATGTCATAATTTACTCTCCCTCAAGTTGTTTCAAACCTCTATGAGTTTCTTTCTTCTGCTGAACAGAAGATGTTTTGAAGATTGTCTGTAACCACACAGAAGTTGGACCTCATTGACTCTAGTATTTTTTTCCTACACTGGAAGTCAATGAAGTTGAGACAATCTTCAAAACATCTTCCTTTGAGTTCAGAAGACGAAAGAAACTCATACAGGTTTGAAACAACTTGTGGGTGAGGAAATGATGACAAAATTTTAATTTTGAAGTGAACTATTCCTTTAACAAGCACCAGGAGAGTTGATGAAGCTCCTTTACCTGCAACCATCCCGCTGATGGAGGACGAGGAGAAGCCGGTCTGAGCCGATGGGATGTGCGGAGGATAACCGGGGAGCATGGAGCTCGACACTTCTCTCCCTGAAACAGCCAAACACACACACTGCTCAGTCTTAGAGAACCACACACTTAGAGAACCACACACACACACACACACACTGCTCAGTCTTAGAGAACCACACACTTAGAGATCCACACACACACACACTGCTCAGTCTTAGAGAACCACACACTTAGAGAACCACACACACACACACACACACACACACTGCTCAGTCTTAGAGAACCACACACTTAGAGAACCACACACACACACACACACACACACTGCTCAGTCTTAGAGAACCACACACACACACACACACACACACTGCTCAGTCTTAGAGAACCACACACTTAGAGAACCACACACACACACACTGCTCAGTCTTAGAGAACCACACACTTAGAGAATCACACACACACACACACACACACACACACTGCTCAGTCTTAGAGAACCACACACTTAGAGAACCACACACACACACACACACACACACACTGCTCAGTCTTAGAGAACCACACACACACACACACACACACACACTGCTCAGTCTTAGAGAACCACACACTTAGAGAACCACACACACACACACACACACACACTGCTCAGTCTTAGAGAACCACACATTTAGAGAACCACACACACACTGCTCAGTCTTAGAGAACAATACACTCACTGCTCAGTCTTAGAGAACCACACACACACACACACACACACTGCTCAATCTTAGAGAACCACACACTTACAGAACCACACACACACACACACACACACACACTGCTCAATCTTAGAGAACCACACACTTAGAGAACCACACACACACACACACACACACACACACTGCTCAATCTTAGAGAACCACACACTTACAGAACCACACACACACACACACTGCTCAATCTTAGAGAACCACACACTTAGAGAA